CATGATAAACAATGTATTTTTTTTTTTGTTAGTTGGTCATACAATTAGAAAATTACGTATTAATCTTTAAATGAAGAAGGATGCATTTCTTAAATGGACAGTTCTTCAAGATCTCAGCATTTCACAAATCCTACACTACAAAAAAGACTTTCTAAAGTCTTTTTTACTGTAGCTTCAATAAAATTCCACTTTTATTTGAACAATTCCTTCATGTGTTTACATACGGACCATTCTATGTAATTAAGCTCAGCTGTTTAGTTTTCACACTTTGGACATGAAAACTCAACCAGGCAACAAAGCCAATTAGGCTTGATTTTAGCATCACTGGGGATAAATAAAACTATAGATATAATTTCAGTTTGATTACAATGGTATTATACCAGGAAAAGATGAGTCTATTTTCTTGTAGCTTTCTCCTACGTACTCACCAATTTTCTTCTTTGTGTGCCTGAAATGCTCGCAGGAAAGATGTATTGTGTTCAGGAAAATTTGAAATGCCATGAAATGAAGCACAAATTTGAGAAACAGCTGTTCAGTGGTACCACATATGACTTCATGAAAGACTAGAAATCAAAACACCATCAAGAAGCTGAGGACCTGAGCTGCAGTATGGAAGAAAGTGAGCACGGACATGCACTCCTTTGAGGGGCAGCAGCAGTAAGAAACACTGGCCAGAGATAAGATTGAAGCTTTTTTATCATTATCTTCTCCTCTAGCCAAGCACAAACTGCAAGGTATTATAATGATTTGAGACTCTCCTATATTTTTGGAGAAATTAATATTCTATTTTAGAGCCAAATAAAAATTCCTTCTTAACCCTACAGAAAGCTGGAAGAAGAATGTATCTGGATTTCCTTGATTAGAAACCTAAACAACTGAAGTGTATTGGGAAGCAGACCACATTCTATTAGATTTTTAAAAACCATGAAGAGAACTTATTCTGCAAGAAGTTAATCTGAAAACAATATGCAAGATTTATGGAAAAGGATATTGGACAATAACTGTTTGGCATTTGTATGCTTCCACAAAGTCATGATTTGCAACAGCATAAGTACACCTGTCAAAGGAAAGGTGCATTAGTGCATCAGAAAATACACATATATTAAATATTTATTTTTGTATCCTAACAGGCATGAAGTTTTACAGTCTATTTAAGGCACTAAGAAATCTGACTAATAGCATTCTTAACAAAACTGGCACAAGTATTTCAATAGAGCACTAAGCTTGATAATTGTAGAAAACAGATCCTAGAGATTAATAGGTATTTGTTTTATATAAGCTACTGCTTATTAAAACTGTCACCAAGACTAAATTTTTAAAATACAAGATTGTTGAAAGAGACTAGATGCAGAAAATTATTAAGTAAAAGCCTTGCAGAATTACTTAGATACTAAACTCTCTTAGGGTACCTTTATGATTAAAATTTCCTTTTAAAAATATTTATTTCCCTTACTTGTTTCACTCTAAATTCTTGTGCAGCTAGTAGGCAGAGCAAGGGAAACAGCAAGCACTGACACTAAAGCTGTGCCAATGGTCATAGAGCAAACTTTATGTGGAGAGGAGAAAGAAAGTCTTTATTTCCTGCAATTCTAGCATTATTTATAAGAGTAATAAATACAAGGTTTTCAGGTGGAAGTCCTTTAAAATAGGCAAGTAAACTTTAGGACATCCTTCTCTATCCCTGCTGTATACCTCACAACTGACTTTACATTCTGAGCCTATCTTTACCTTAAGTGGGCTGCAAACATTTCATCGTATGGCGATTCCAAAACTTGTTGACACTTCTCCTCTGGAGACGGAAGCTAAGTGTAGAATAAATCAATAAAACATTAAAGGAGCATCCAATGTACCAGAAACAGAACATCATATGCATATTTTGTCATGGCAGTTATCACAGATTTGCAAGGGTTGGAAGGGACCTCTGGAGATCATCTAGTATGCATCTACCAGAACTTTAAATTATATTAACAATCATATCCAGATTAATGAATTTCTAGTGTGCATTCTGCCTCCAGACCCTGAACAGAGACAGCCTTAAATACAGCATCCAAAACATACAAACACCAGGCCTTTATTACTCACTTTTTTCTCTATAGTGCCTTCCATTGTGCTATGCTAATAACTAATGCAGACCTGGTCAGAAAGGACATCTGTATCTATCCAGAAAACAATTCTAAGTGGAACACAAAGAGTCAGCCAGAAAACAAACACTATATATAGTATCCTTGGAAGAAGAAACTGGAAGCAAACCTACAAAGGGATTCTAGCTCAGCCTATGAAACAAATTTCTGAGGTTTCTCTCCAATGGAAAGGAACCCACATATAGAGCTAGGAAAACTGAAAGTAAAACAAAAGGTCAAAAAACAGATCCTCACCTGTAGCCTTGGGTTTGCAACATGTGGATGTTTAAATGATACTAATTCTGCACAAAACGTACCATCTCTGGTCTCAATGGCTTCTTGTACCTACCAAAGTAAACAGTGCCATTACAGAATGAAATCCAGCAATAGGCACACAACATATTTACACAATATGAAAGCCACCACCTAGTTACCACTGTTCATATACATTAATATCAAATCAAGTGTAAGCTTTTAAAGGCTTAATACTGAACAAATAATTTTATATTTCCAATACACCTGTTGTTCAAAAAGATCTCGGGGAGAACATAGAGAGAACACCATTGTAGTTTTTTCCTTATTTGTAGGATGCAAGCATATGTACGTACATGGGTTTAACATTGTAAAACAGCAGTTGAGAGCCAGATTTCGTTAAGCTTTTAAAAATTCCAGTTGGACTTATAGGCATCAAACAAGGATGCAAAGGTGCAATCTCTGAGAAATGCTTTAAATGAAGATAGGAAGATTTAACATGCAGCTATCATTCCAAAGGCAATGTCTGATATTAGACTGCTTATATCGAATGCATTTGAAACCTGCTAAGACTGTAAATGTTATATTCTGCAGAATAATGGTTTAATTCTGTTTCCTGCTAAAGACAACTCCTTGTAAAAAACAGTCTGCTTGGACAGGTTATTGTGACATCAAGGTGGAAAAAATTTCTTCAGTTATGGAAGCAGTTTTAGGTATTACTTAAGAGTTCCCTTCCCATTGCATATGCTTTATCATATTTTTGTGTCCTAGTATGAAAAAAAAATCTTTTTGGTGTATGGAAGGCTCATATCAAACGGGGAAAAAACCTATAGACCAAAATAGCAACAAAAGAAGGAAAAACAACTGTTTAAACTCTTTCAGAAATCTGTGTTTAGTTCTTTTTTCAGGAAGAAGAAGAGATAATTTTATGTTTGCTAGATAGTTTTTCATATTGAACATTCAATGGAGTGCCAACCGAACAAGATGTGGACCGCTGTCCTGGGAGATCGCAGATGCTCCAGTTTTGGAGCACAAAATCCAAAACCCAAACAATTGCTTTCTTTTTGTGCCTCAACGAATGCCATTTGAACATGGAAACAGTGATGTGAATCCGATGGTCCAGCAAGACCCATCCAGAGTGGGCACACAGAGAGCCTGTCACTGACGGCTCCGTCCAGCGGGAATCCCTGCGGCTCGGCTCCTGCCTCTCCAGCCTCCATGTCAGACCTGTGTGTCCGCACTTCTGCACTCCTCAAATCCCTGAGCTGCACTTGCTCCTGGACACACACGCAGCCCTCCGTGGCGGTTCTCACAAATAAATTACCTCAGAAACCTCCACGCTTTTCAGGCATTCCAGGTGTACATCCTTGGCACTCAGTGTGTGCTTCACGCACACTGAAGAAATATATTCCCCCACCACATCACTCACCCACCGCTGATTTATTTCTTAACCAAGGCAGCATATTAACAGCAGAGAAAAATACACTCGCATACTCAATCAGGGCCCACAGATTAATTTTAAAAGTTAATAAAAAATCTTGCTTACTTGCTGCAAGTACTGATTTATGGTGATGTGCGCCATGAAAAGGTAAGGAGATGAGGCGGGAGCCTCACACCGGTGCCCCCGCGCGAGCCCCGGCACTCCCGGAACTCCCTCCGCGTTTCCGGATCCCGGCGCGTCCGAGGGCGGCGGGAAGGGCCCCGGCAGTCACGTGACATCCCCCAAAGGCCACTGTCCCGCCCACCGCGGCCCCGGGGCGTGGCTTCACTCGGACAGCCAATGGGAGGGAGGGGTGGGCGGGGCAGGGGGCGCGCGTCAGCGGCAAACCGCGTGCGCCGGGGCGTACCGCGTGCTCGTGGGTGGTGATGCGTTGGGATTGTTGTCGCTGTCACTGCCACCCCGCTACCCCTTGTACCCCCGTCTTGTACGGGAGGTGGGTGGTGGCCTCCCCGTGGCAGGACTCCAGTGGCGGGATAGCCCAGTTACTTCTCCGAAAGAGCGCTGGAGGCTCGCCTTCCCTCCCTCCTCGCTAGCTGCGCTGCCCGGGGGAGCGCTGGAGAAGGGTCTCGGTGAACTTGGGTCGAAAAGGTTGAATTGAGCTCATAAACTCCCGAACAGGGTGACTTTTAAAGGCATTGCGGCCAGGGAGATGTGTGAGACAAGGACACGCTCCATGCTCGTGCAGGCTGGGCTCGGCTGGGTTTGGGGGGTGTCGATGAGCAGGGTGGGCGGCCTCCCGGGCTGGTTGTGGGCAGGAAGCGCGGCTGCTCCTTTGGCTTTCGTTCCGGCCACCCTTCGGGGGTACCAGCAAACAGAGCCAGGGCAAGCGGGGGACGCCGAGGGGCTGCTGTCGCCCGCGGGAGGCTGCCCCGGCCCGGGAGCCATCTTGTGAGTGAGGTTGGCGCTGCCCGAGCGCCGCGGGCCGCCCGGACTCGGGAACGGACCCGGACCGGCACCAGAGCCAGCCGCCGGGGCGGGCGGAGGCAGGAGGGCGGCTATCGGTGCCTCCCGCCCAGGCGGCACTTGGCACGCCCGCGGGCAGTGGGGGAGGGCGGCTGGGTGGTGGCGGAGGAGGAGGAGGGGAGCGGAGGCGGGGACCAGCCGGCCCCGGCCCGGCCCAGCCCAGCGCGTTGCCCCGGCCGGACACGGCGCCCGGGGCGGAGATGGCGGACGAGCCGCAGAAGAAGCCGCACTTGTCGGCCTTGGTGGGACACACGAACGGGCTCACCAAGCCCGCCTCGCTGGCCACCACCCGCTCCACGGGAGGAGGAGGCGGGGGCGCGACCGCCTCCTCCAAGAAACTCGTGATCAAGAACTTCAGAGGTGGGTACGGGGCAGGCCGGGCCCTCTGTCCTGGCAGGTGCGCTCGGCCCGATCTTTGTTTACTGCAGTCCCGGCCGCTCCCCGCCCCTTGCCCGCGGCCGGGCCCCGCCGCTGTCACCCGCCCCGCCGCCGTATCGGGGCGAGGGGCGGCTGCCGCGGGGCTGATAACGCCGCCGGGCTGATAACGCTGCCGGCACCGTGCCCGTGAAGGGCTCCTGGGGACACGCGTGGGGCTCCGTGCGCGGGGACAGCGGCCGTAGGGAGCGGGCAGAAAGCCACCTTAGTGTCAGCGCTGATTAAAGCCAGGCGAGGGTGGTTGCCTCGCTAAAAGTAACACGGGCGTCAAACACAGCAGCCGGGGGGTGAAGCGTGTCGTGCTAAGGCTCGGGTGGAATTAGTGACCCCTCTGAGTGTGCCAGAGTTACATGGCCAAGAGCACAGTGGCTTGCCAGAACTTGATGGAGCAGCAGGGAGAGAGGCGTTGCTGCAGGTTCCCGTTGGGTGGCCCTTTTAAAACAACCTGTGTTTTACTTCACAGAAAGACCCAAATTACCAGATAATTACACTCAGGACACCTGGCAGAAACTTCATGAAGCGGTGGGAGCAATACAGAGTAGCATTTCTATTAAGTACAACCTTGAAGAGCTCTACCAGGTAAGACACAGGTTTTGCTTTTGTTTTTTGCAAATAAACTGCGTTGGCACGCATTCAACATATTTTTATTTGTTAAAAGCTGATTGAATAGTTCCCTACATACTCTGTTTCTCGTCAGTTTCTGCATATCCGTTCCTCGGAGAGCTACCAGGATCTGGGCCCATGAAAAAGCAGTTTATGTTGGGAGGCACAGAAAGCTATTCCTGGGCAGGGCTGAGATCTAAGTCTTAGAATCTTCAATACTCTGCCCACTCAGCATGCTGAAAACAGGATATTACTCTAACAGGATTATGAAGTTGCATATTTTATGATGATTTTTGTACAAGCTATGGTCTCTTGTAAATAATAATATTTTATTAATTTCTATTTTATATTATTAGATTATAATCTTACACTTCTGTACGTTTTGGGGAATTAAAAAGGCAGGCGACAGACTGTCAATTTACCCACGTTTCAGATTGCTGTTGTATTTTCATAACAATCAGGATCTTTGTTTTTCTGTTCAAGTGGTGAAAAAGCATTTCTGGAACACCTGGACTACTGGAGTAGGGGCTGGGGAGGGTAAAAGAGAGATGGTCTCCTGAGCCCTTTCTCTCTACTTTATCCAATTATATGTGGTTAAGTTCTATGTTACTTTAGATGTATGTGCTTTGAGGTGTTTAGTTGAAGTAGTAGGTTTTTAGAGTGATTGTATTATAAAAAATTACTGATGTGTTAAATTGTGCTACATAACATAAGTTAGTTAGGAGTTTTCTGTGAGTGCAGGTGTTTGATCTGCAGATGGATGTCCTTGCCAGACCAGGACTGAAAACGTTATTGTGCACACCCAAAATTTTCTAAATGTTTAGTTGAGGTCCAAAGGGTAGACTGTGAGAGAGAAGGCCAGTAGTCTGTACTGGGTCCCTGTTCAAGAAAATCAGGATGGATTTCAGACCTGGCTATACTTGTCTCTTTAGTTAGGGTATGTAATATATGAGTCTAAAATGGGTGATTGTGAAATATATATTTCCTTTAAATAGAAAACTTGACTGCAATATATTTATCTATTAGTACTTGCAAATTTGCAGAATTTGAATGACATGATGCATTTTATTGTTTCAAATCCAGCATTTGAAAAACCCTGCTTTTCCATGTCTAGCAAAAAAAAACCCAAAAAAACCAACAAACCAGCCCACAGATGCTTTGAGTGTTACCTAACTTGTTTTCAGAGGCTCAGAAATGAGATTATAGTAATATGGCTATGAAATCACTAGGGTACATGCTTGGGTTTTGGCAGAAGAGAAGAGAGATTTCAGATAAACTGTGAAGAGAGATCTGTACTTCTTGCTGCTTCTCTTGTGCAAGGTTGATTGAATAATCTGTAGCGCAGCAAATTAGGAAGATTTCTGCACAGGGGGGTGGTGGTGCTCAGTGTGCCTTTGCATAGACAGGTTCTTACTCTCCTGCCAGAGGAATAAAAGATGAGGTTCAGCATCCATTGGAAACCTGATCTGTATTTACAGATCATTTTAACAGTCTGTTGGTGAGCACCGAGTCATCCACAGGGGAAAATATCTGTTCATCACATTATTAGGCCTTTTTGGTGAGGTGGTTTTTGGGTTTTTTTAGTCTTTATCTGACATTATGGGAGGAAGTGAGAGGCCTGCTAGAGTTCAGTGCACTCAGTAGGCTGGTGTACCAGCCTACAGTTGAACCTTCTGATTTATTTATTTAATTTGGCACAGTGGCTCAGAAGAAACTGAAGAACAGTGATGAGGCTGTGTGGGAAGCCTGAAGGATACTCCTTTCCAGGCTTTAGAGGCAGCATGGAATCAGGCATGGAGGTGCTTGGCAGAGATGTAGTCAGTGAGCAATGGGAGGGTGGCAGCCAATTTTTTGCGACTAAAATAGAAATGATGTCTGGGATTGGTGGTAGATTGCACAGATTTTGAAAGAAGTAGCTTTTATACTTGATGGGATAGAGAAAGTGGGGCAGTACAAAGAATTGCTGAATGAGGAGTGAGTGATAAAAATAATGGAAAAAGAAAATTACCTTTGCAGTGAGGTCCTAAATAACCTGAAGTGGGGCAGCACTGCCCTTCTGGAGGACATAGAACAGGACAGTGTAGTAATGAAGGAAAAAATTATGAGAGTCCTGACTAAACTTATATTTGAGTGGGTGGATAGGAGTAGCTGTAACACTATCTATGAAGTGATTGTCTGAATACTGCTTGTTGTGAGTTATTTTACTTACTTTAAGACCAGATGAGAAACATATTATAGGCACTGTTATAACTTTATTTGTTTGTATGCTTTAATGTATCAAAATTGTGTAGGCCATTTATGTGCATTTAAGTAAAATTAGATTAGGTAGGTTAGAATGCTCTGGAGCAGAGGCAAACATTCTTGGGTCAGTTTTAGTTGCCCAGGTGACATAGTTCTTAAGTCCTTTGCAGTCTTCTGTGCAGTATTGCCTCATAATACTAGGGCAGTTGATATTAATGTAGTGACACCAGAACATTTGGTTTTGGGCAGAACTGGTCTTCTTAGTTAACGAAGAATAAATACTCAACTAAATCCTGTGAGCTCCCAATAAATCAGTTCAAGTCTTTATGTAAGGCTTAATGTGGGGTTGGTTTTGGGGGTTTTGTTATTGTTTGGGATTTTTCTTAATTATTTTTCCCCTCAGTTTATGTACCTTAGCATGAGGTGTGAATCAGTGGAAATATTTGGGAAGAAATAAGTTGATAAAAAGACAGGAGAGTAGCTATACTCATTTACCATTTAGACAGACTGATTGAAATGTCTACTTTAAAGGTATTAAGAAGTTGAAGTATTTGGTATGATTGTGTTTCTGCCCCGAAAAAGCACTTGTGTGCATGCTGAAGGATGCACAAAATGGACTTTTTGGAGGAGTTCTACTGCTGAGCAGTATTGAAGGAGTCAGAATTCTGGTAGTGTTTAACAGCACATCTGAAATATGATTTAGATTGTGATGGTGGATCTTGCTTGTGACACAAAATCTAGGAGAATAAGAAGGAACTAAAATCAGAAAGGACTCCTGAAGTCTTATTTTTTTCTCTGTAACTTTGTTTTGATGTTTTGGTTTTGTGCACAGCTTGAACATATAATGCTGATTTTTTTTTCCTTTTTCAGCCTTAATTACAAAGACACAAAAATTTAAGTTCCTTTTTTTGTCTCATTTATAATCCTTTTTTTGGTTTTTAGGCTGTTGAAAATCTCTGTTCCTACAAAGTCTCTGCTACACTGTACAAACAGCTGCGACAAGTCTGTGAAGAACATGTGAAAGCACAAATCCTTCAATTTAGAGAATATCCTTTTGTCATGCACAGAAGTGGTTAGAATGATTAGTTTACATCATTATTTTTTAAAACAAGTCCTTGCAAAAATTGCACCAGTAATTGTCAATGTGTTAGAGGTTCTTTGACTGTTTACATATTTTTAAGTCAGTCATAGGCAACTTCAAGTCATCTAGATGAATAACTTTTGTATATTGATGTGTAGCATGCTAATAAGAACTTATTTATCATTTTACTAGGGATGCAAGTTTTACCCTAAATCTAGAAAATGTCAATAGCACTGTGAGATTTCTCAGCAGGTGTGAATTTCTGTGACAGGTGAGTAGTTGTGATGCTTATGGCAGCAATAGCTTAAAAAAATCACTGTGCTTGTCTACAACAATAAAAGAATTTTCAAACCTAGTGCACTTGTTTGACCAAAAATAACTACTGGTCAACAGCGATGTATCACAGAGGCATTCAACAAGCCTTCAAATATCTTGTGTACGCTGGGAGGTTCTTGGAAGGGAGCTCTAAGTTCGAGAGATCATTTGGCTGTCTTGGGGTGCAAAGAAGGAAGGAGTTTTATGGAAATTTCCCCATGGTTTACTGGAGTTACATTGCTGGACCTTTCTTCTGGCTGAATGGATCACAGAAGTGCCTGTAGATCTTCTGTGGACATCTGGCTGTAGCCAGCCCTGTTTCCTGAATGCAGTCAAGCTTTATGTGCTGAGAAGGTGCTTTATATCATAGGTGTCCTTTGTGTAACAGCCCTGGGGTTGCACTTGGTGGAGCAGCAGATGAATAGTCTGTCCACCTTGCTGCCCCCATATTCCTGGAAAATGCCTTTGCCAGCAGGTGATGGATGGCGTGTGCCATATTGAACAGATATTCCATTACATTACTAATACATAGCAGCACTGTGTCTGTGTATGGATTTTTTTAGCAGAAAATAATAGGATAAAGTAGAGAAGATAGGATGAAGTAGAAAGAAACAAGGGGCCAGGGCCCAGGACAAACCTTCTTTCCTGGTGAATGCTTTAAATGTGCTTTGGATTGTGATTCTCAGTTTCTTGGTTCACTGCATTCACCAGGTAGGTGGAACTCAGAGTAATTTGGAATTTTTAATGGTGCATAGCACTAACATGGTTTTGGTTTTGTTTTTTGTTGATGATTTGGGTTTTATTTTTAGTCCTATTTATGCCATCTGGCTTCTATGTAGCATGTTAGTACAGTAGTCTTTGACATACCTGGTTTTGGAAAACCAAATTTTCTAGTCTTCTTTAAAGCAGTGTACAACCATCTTCTTTTGCATTCCTGCTTTTTCAGACTTTAGATGACGTTACGAAAAAACATTTTAAAACTCGTGTTTTCAAACTTTGCTTTCACCTTGCCCTTTTGACAGGGTGATGGTGGATTGGAGAGTTGAAAATTTAATATTTTTCAGGTGTACCACTTTTTATCCCAAGGACATGAGATCAGATTAATCAGATTAGGCCAGAATGAGTTGGAAATGATAATGTGCGGGAGAGGAAGGTAAAGTCTCATTTAGATTTACTTGTGAGACACATGAGGATTCTCTTATTTGTAAATAAGAGTTGGATCTGTTGTGTAATGAAGACAGCTCTGTAGATGACTTAGGGTGACCTGGAGATGTATATGAAAAGAGTGGTATTTGGATTTGTTGAGGATTATTTAGAACTGTAACTGCTTTTAAGAGATTAGGGTCACTCCTGTTGTGCTCAGTGTGAACTCCTTAAATAAACAAAATAACCTCTCCATCCCTCTCACCTCAGTTGGTGACAAATGTGTCGCTGGTGGGATTTCTTGTTTAAGTCTATATTAAGGTTACACAGCACAGCCACTAGATGGTATTACTGAAGAGCTGTGAGTATTATTCCTTGAAAACACAGGGAGGCCTTTTGGAGAACTGCCAGCCACTGTGCTGGGCAGCTCTGCAATTAACGGTTTATCCCTGGCAGGCACAGTAGCATTGGAATATCCATGGAGCAGCTTTGCCTAATGGCTGGCAAAGATCATCTCCAGAATCTGGCCTCTAAAGATACTGGCAAACTAGTTTTCCTTAATGGGTGCTGTACAGATTCTCTGGATAGTCTTTTATTTTTAAAGAAGATAAATAAATGCTGGCAAGATCATTGCAGACAAATGGTAAGTTGATTGTTTGTTCAGAGTACATATCCTTGAAGTGTGAAATCTGACTAAAATGAGTTTGTCATATTTTTAACTTGGGACTGCACTGCATCTCCACCTCCAGGTTTTATCATTGCTTTTCACTTTCCCCTTTGCTGGCTGAGGAGGCTTTTGTTGTTGAAATGTAGGTTCTGTTAACTCTGATTTTCATCGGTTCACATAAGGTTTGAATATCACTCAGAAATATATTGACACTTTTTTTTTTTCCTTTGGGTGGAAAGAAAAACTAGCTAAGAAATGCTGAAGTTGTTTGCTGTTCATAATTTTAAGTAATTGGAGAGTCTTTGCTTTTAGATAGCTCCAAGAACTAGTTTAACTTGCACCATTTTTTTTTTTTCAAAGCAGAAATTATTATCCTGACTACAGAGCTAAGAAACAGAAAGGATAAAGAACTGAAACTTGTTCTCTTTCTGCCTTTTTTGTCTTCTACCTCCACAACAATTTATGTTACAGAAAAAAGTCCTCTCTGAAACACACTCTGGAAACTGTGTCTTTAAGAAGGCATCATTACAATACCAAATTAACATTTTACAATGAGTTTTTATTGTATTGTCACTTAGCTTGGACTGCAGATGCCCCATATGGTTGAATTTCTGTTTTCATTCCTTGAATGTGCTGGTCTTTCCTGTGAGGTTTGGGGAGAGGTATGTGATTTTTATCAGAGTTAAAAATGGAAGGTGTTAGAGAAACTATTTGAATTCAGCAGCCTGATGAAAACAGAGTTGATGATACTGCCTTGAAAATGTAGTTAGCATGAACCTGTGTTTTCATAAAAGGGCTTTTGCTGTGAACACTGTTTGCTTTAATTACTTCTAAGCATTCTTTTTTTTTTCTTCCTTCAAGCAACAACCTGTAGCAAGTGGCTTTCTTGCCCATGTGCTGCGTTACCACTTGTGCTATCTAAGAAAAAAAAAATCAACCTTACTGCTGTTTTACTTTAGTATGCTTGGCCAGAAGCTATGTCAGCTTGAGAATTGCTTCAGAGGCAATGAAATCTTTTAGGGAAGGAGTAGGTGGACAGCTGGGAATAGAAATCTCTATCTGGCCTGGGGGTGAGTTACTGACATCTGGAGTTATGCTAATGCTAAACTGGGAGTTGGGCAGCCTTCTTATGAGCAAAGTTAAAAATGGATTTTGAATATAAAAGTCTAATAAGCTACAAAACCACCTCCTCCTCCCACTCTTTTAATAAAAAATAAGAGATAATATCTTTTTATACCCTCTTTCTACTGTTGGATTTAATGTATCTCTATTTTTCTTTGGAATTTTGGCAGCTAACTTTTATTATGAAAAGATCTGTTGCGCAGCTTGTTACTGTCTCAGCTTAAACTTTTTTTACTTTAAAGCAAAAAGCATGGCAGCATGCTATTTCAGGGTGTTTACTGACAATATTGGAGGTACTGTTTGAATAGCTTATGTATATCAGTGGTATAAAACTCCTAATAGGCTAATAAAACTATTTAGTTAATGGTTATGAATTTGAAAACTGTCTTGGATGTACTTGGGAATACCACCAAGTAATAGTATTAACTTCAATAAGTTGCATACCCATGGCTGTGCAAGTCACCATAAAAGTTTAAAATACATCAGTAAATGAGGTGCATGTCTGTGATGTAGTTTTTCAGTTGTTGTTTTATAATTTAAAATACCACATGGAGGTGAAGGGAAAAATATTTTCTATATATTTTCAGATCATGATCAGAAGCATTTTCTTATTTTTGGATCGTACATATGTGCTTCAGAATTCAGTGCTTCCTTCTATATGGTAGGTATCCATATAAGTATTCCTGTAGAGTGTTGACATGCTATTACATTTGCAAAGATTGAAAATAAATTTTTCACATTATATTTGAGCTATATGATAGATCTCTAAAATTTTGTGTCAGTTTATGGAAATGCATGTGTCAGCATACCCGTGTGTCAATATCTTCCTTCCCCAGGAAAATTTACTGTCAAGTGGGAGTCAGGGCATGTGTGTCGCTGTAGCTGTCAGAGCCTGGGTGAGGCTGATCTGTGGGAGCCTCCTCTTGACTGCTGCCTCCCACCTTAGCACTGGCCCAGCATTACTGTAGGTGCTCCTGGTTTTGACAACTTTCAGCATTCAGCTTCTTGCTCTGTTTAGTTTTTTTTTTGTTGTTTTTTTTTAAGGCAGTCAGATACCGTGACAAGGTGCAGATTATCTTTCCAGCCCTTGGTCACTTGATTATGCCTTTGTACTTTGAGCCCACGATGGTCACATCTTTGGGCATTCTGCTTTAAAGCATCCCCCTGAGGGGCATTTGACATCATTGCCTGAGCAAACAAACCCAAGCTTTGCCAAAAATTTCTGCTGTTATTACTACTTTAGCTAAAGCACATCCCCCACCCCAATAAAAAAAAAGGTAGATAAAAGTGCTGAAGTAAGAGCATGTCTTTTCCCTGCCTGCCTGGCTGCTGTGCTCTCGTGAGTTCCTCAGGCTGTCTGAAGAACCTGGCATCTTTCTCCAGCAGACATCTTTTGTTCCCAGCTTTAGCAGTTTTCCTCCAACTCTTTATGTTAGGCTTCCTTTTTCAAAACATTGTTGATGAGGTCTGTTCATACTTTATTTTCCTCCCACTGGGAAATTCCTTTTATTGAAATCCTGATGCATGTGAAGAATTCAGAGGTAACAAGTTTTATCTAAGATTGCTCAGTTTTCAATATTTAACAATTAGCTGCTTCATGGCATAGAGGCACCATTCCTCATCATCTTAGAATGAAACAAGAATCTGATAGAGGTGATAAGATCCTAAAAATAAAAACAATTTATGCTTTTGAACAAAACTTAAAAACTACACGTAGAGTGTCTGATCCAAGGAATCTTATATTAAGGTATATGATCAGATTTATTGTTTTTTGATAAGCAGAGAAGCTTATAGTCTATTATGTGAAAGTTGGACAGGCTGGTCTACTGAAGTGTATGCCTGTGGTAGCATCTGATCTGGTATTTTTAGGATAATTCTTGTTACAGTTTTGTTAGAGGACACTCAAAAGGTGTATACACACCATTAATTTATTCTTTTTCTGTATAAGGTATATACACTATGTATTTTAAATGTATGTATGACTTTTCAAAATAATCAACAGTGTGACTAATTTTCAATATTCACATAGGGATATGGGGCTAGAGTTATTTAGAAACCATATCATTAGTGACAAGCAAGTTCAAACCAAGACGATTGATGGAATTCTCCTGCTGATCGAACGAGAGCGAAATGGTGAAGCTGTGGACAGAAGTTTGCTGCGGAGTTTGTTGAGCATGCTCTCAGATCTGCAGGTGAGTACAGAGAAATTCACTAGTTTAGAAACACAGTGTGGACTGCCTAAGTTGTGTTTTGTACAAAAATTGTTCTGTTCATCTAGTAAATGTGTGTAAAATCTAGCTATTACATTGGTATGATTGCCTCTTCTTTACCCCATGTGCAGTCTTGTACTGTTTTTAAATGAGACCTTTTTGCCTGTTTTCCTTAGCAGAGGTAGTGGCCTCAGTTCTTAATAGATTTACAGGTCTTTTAGTATGTGCAGTATTTTGTCTGTCATAATCACTCATTGTCTCATCCTAGTGCCAGTTAAATGTAAGAACGGAAAAATTCCTCTCTGTCACTGTGAAAAGATGTCACTTTTGGTGTCCAGGTCTTGGGTGTGTATCACAAAAACATCACTCTACTGACAACTTCTTAGAAATGCTGAGGATAGAATGAGATGCCATATTAAGGCCAAGGTTTTCAGATCACGTGAAGCTACAATTTACTGGAACTTTCTATGAGCAGAGATAGTAAGTAACCAAGGAGACTGACAAATGCTGTGCTTCTGAATTCCACATGGGTTGTCCTTGAGTTAAAGTTGCAGCCTTGTGTGATGTGCAGTGAAACTTTGGAGCTATCCATCATTCCTAAAACCTGGTGAGATTGCTCCATTTTAAAGTGGCAATTACAAAACTGGCTGAAGGTTTGAAAGAGTTTGAAGAGGTGAACTACATAAAGTCCTTTCTGGTCAGGCAGCTTACCTGGTTTTCTGCCTTTCATGTTAATCCTCTTGACTTTAATCTGTAGCTTCCTCTATCATCCCAGAAAAATCAGTTTGTTTGAGAGAGAAGCCATTGAAAAAAAAAAAAATTAAGCTTTTGAAAGTGATAGAATGGTTTGGGTTGAAAAGGGCCTTTAAGGATCATCTAGCTCCAACCCTCCTGCATTAGGCAGGGAACCTTCAGCTAGGAGTCCTCATGAGACAAAAAATGGCAGAATGTAATGAGTTTTACAGCTCTGTTATGTGATTTGGAAGAAACGTTTTCTTCTATTCTTCCACCACACTCAAGGAATTTTTCCTTTTTTCTTTTCACTGTCCCTCTGTTTACGTATTAATCCCTAGTTCTTCAGACTTACAACCTTTTCTTTATGTAATTGTCTGGCTTACTTCCTTTCTATAATAAACTGTTAGTCATTATGCACAAGTGTTTTCATGTCTGATTGTTATTGGTGACCTTTTATGCACACCTTGTTTGTTCCCTATAGAAAGAATTCGTATATAATTCATATATATTCATGTTATAGTTCATTTTTCCTGGGCCACTGAGAGAAACCTGGCAGATCTGAAGATGTGTTACTGAGCATATTAATATTTTACTGATGACAATTACCTGTTTTGTGCCGATGTTTCACTATTGGAAGGGGGTTTTTGCCACAGACAGTGGGAGTTTAGATCTCAGGTTGATTGGATGTCATTGCTGTGATGTTGGGTACTGGTGCTGGGCTGTGTGCCTTAAACAGAAGCCTGCTAATTTAGACTGTTCAAGTACTGGTGACTGAAACAAACCATTGGTGCTCTGGGAAGTCAGTTCTGATCTCAGTCTTTCTGAAACCAGTGGACAGAGAATTTGTTAATGTAATGTTACATTGACCTTTCTCACAGCTGTGTACATCCTTAAAATTTTACTCGTCCTCGTATGACTGACAAACAAAATTACTCCTGTTACTGTGAGCTTAATGTAAGTAATTAAATTGGTTTCTTGAGCAGGTTTACAAGGAGTCATTTGAACAGAGGTTTCTGGAAGAGACAAATTGTTTATATGCTGCAGAAGGCCAAAGATTAATGCAGGAAAGAGAGGTAGGTGCACGTGGTAGATGATTGCTTTTATGCTAGTTTTATCATAGTGCTGTGATGTATTAATGTCCAATGAAATTTACTGGCGCACAGGTATTCATATGTTTTGATATGGACCATGGTATTGTATCACCAGGGAGAGCAGACCCCAGGTTGTCGTGGAACTTGATAGAACAATTGTGTAGTAACCCAGTGACATTTTTGTAGCTTAAGTCACATTACCAACTATAATATGCTTAATATGAAATAACATTGATTAATAAAAATACAGATTATGTAGTACATAACAATGTTCTGGTGGAATAGTCCTTTCCAATTCATGTTCCCTTTTAAAAATGTAGTTTAATTGTCACAGAACAAACTTAGCTGCCTTACATAGCTTTATAGTTGAACTGGTTGTTCTCTTGTTAGGTCCCAGAATATCTTCACCACGTTAATAAACGTTTGGAAGAAGAAGGAGATAGAGTAATAACATATTTAGATCACAGCACACAGTGAGTACAAATGTTATCATTTTTACTCTAAGTCAAGCATTCTTAATAAATGAGTATGATTATCTATGGTTGTAGAGACACTAAGATAATATCTGTAAGATAATGAAGAAATTATCTTGTTGAGAGTGCTTGTGAAATAGCTTGTTTTTTTTTAAAGACTTCAGTTTTATCAAAAGTTACTTCTTTAACGTATACTTCCAGTAAGAAAGAAGAAATTTGTCAGAAATATGAATTCTGTATACTGCAGATAAAAAAACATTGTGTAAGAACTCAAATTTCCATTATCAAAATAGCAGTTGGTTTTAGCCTTTCATGTACTGATAACATCTTTAACCACAAATCCCTTGAGAGAAGGAAAGACTCACAAGCAAAACCAGAAACAAACAAAATAAGCGAACAAAAACCCAAACAAAACCTGAAAAAAACAGAAGGGCAGAGAACATGAATACCATTTATAAACAGTCAAAGGTATGAGCTTAACAGTACATCAGCTGCTGCCAATGTACTGTGTGAGGTAGCTTGTCCTTTTTCCACTTGGGTTTTAAGTAATAGTTTGTGTTTTGTTGGGTTAACACATTCCTGCAGGAACTGACACACTACATAAATCAATGTATAATTTGTCCCGTAGTAAGTGGTTGCTTTTTTTTTTCTTTAGTTAAGAACGTGGCATTAAATTTATTGGGTTTTAGTGTTCTGGAGGATTTATTGGCATTTGATTTGGTGTAAAAAGGATAACTGAAGAAAAATTATCTTTAACTTACTATTCAGACATTTTATATAGATGTACATATATACTCGTGCATTGCGTATCATGGCACATATTTGAATTTGGGTCTTCTTCCTGTAAATTGCAGGTGATTGCAGGGTGACTAGCTTTTTCTAGTGAAATCACTCGTATTGAAATACATCAAACTATTTCTGTTTATAAAGTTATAGCAAATACATGTATTTATTTACTGTTTAGGTTAAAAATATAGATTGATACCATTACATTTACAGACTTGATAGACATCAAGTACTTACGTTGCATCTTGCCCTTAGTTAAAGGCTTAGAAGTCTACTTTTAGAAGGCTTCACACTAATTTCCTGCCCTGCATTAAGAAACAGCTGCTCTTAAAATTAGAGCACTTGAATTTTCCTGGGGTCATACTGTTTCTCTGTGTGTGCATGAAAACAGGAGAGAGGATGCTATATAGTTGCAACTGGCTTGATCTTGAGATGAAAACGATGCTTCTGGGGCAAAACCGTCGTGTGAAACACCATTCCAAATACTTCAGATAACACCTGGGAAGTGTGTTGTTGCAGCCCATGAAGGGATTCTTTCAGGCCAGCAGTACATGCTGTTCTGGATAGCTGGCTAGATGAAGAAGTGTGTCTCCTTGTCAGTCAGTAGATGACCAAGGTACATGGCTTTGAGGTCATAGAGAGGGTGCCTTCTGGCTCCTTCCTTAGCCAAGATAAATACTCATTTTGTTTGCTTGCTAGGATGTAAGTGCTTTGCCTCTTGGCCTCAAGCAGACAAATTGTCTCTTCTTTTCCTATACTCAGAATAGGTCTTCCAGGGCGAGGGATGGTATTTCATACAACCTTGACTCCTGCTGTTGGAAACAGCCAGCAGGTAGCAGTAGTGAGAAATGGCAGGGGATATGGAAAGTACCATAAAAATGGCCCTGTGTGTTAAAACAAGGGTCTCTAAACAGTATTTCATGTTCACTTATGACCACTGAAGGGAACAAATAGAGGAAGTGTATGTGATGCCCTGATACTCTCCTGGTGTCTGCCTGTTTCCAGTTCGGTGTATTTTCTGGACCTGCTATGGTTTGTGTCTTTGTATCTCTGAAATACTTGTAGTCTCTCATGGGGATTCACATCAGCTTTTCTGTCTGTGCCAGGTTCCAAAGCGTTCCACAGGTGATAAAAGTGCACAGCCACCTGGTAATAAAGTGCCTCTTTTTAAGTCGGGTACCCAGTACCATTGCTGATGACCCCAGTTCATGCACTGAAAGGTGGTCAGTTCCCTTCACCCTTTTCCTGCCTGTTAATGGTATCCCTAAGTCATCTCCTTCCCAGAAAGAAGAGTCTTGATGTGTGCACTTGTCTCTCTTGTAGCTGCTGCTACATATTTTGATGATCCCTGCTTCCTTCTCTAAACTTTTCCAAGTGAAGGACCTGAACTGGTGTGTTGTATGAAGGTCTGGCATGTCACTGATGGGCGTGTTTCACACTTTCATTTTAGCATTAAGTGTATCCTCCTACAGGAAAGGCTTCCATCAATCCAAGTTGAGCATCTCTCTTCTAGGAAATCTCAATTAAGGTTCTGAAAAGCAGTTTTATAAAACTTAACTGATAAAGAAATGGTTGGTCTTATGTTGCTCCATTGTAAGCAGGGTAGGAGTTTAAACATTGGAATTAATTATGCCTTTGCATCTCAGGCGTTTTATTTTGTCTTTTAGGCAATGAAAGATGTAAGGGAATACTTCCCATTGTTTTTCAGTCCTATCTAAAATGCATGTATATATGTAAAAAGTAGGGGCTATTCAAGGACAAATTTAAAAGTTTGTGCAAATTTGTGTCTTGTGGTTCTAGCTCAGTTTGTGCTTGTGTACATATGTAGCTGAAAATTTTACAGTTAGCTGAATTTTGAATATAACTAAGTGTGTATTGTTTTGTTTTGAAGCTCAAACCCTTGGAGTTTTTGGTTTTTTTCCTTGTTTGTTTCCAGAATTCAATATGACACTATTCCAGTTAGGCTTTTGTATTGACTTTTGCAATGTAAGCTTTTCACTTCTACTGTGTAAGGAATTTCAATTTATTAATTTTTTTTAATTGCATACTCAGTTGATAACAATCAATCTTTCTAATATCACGTGATGGTTTTGTCATAATTTGTAGCCTCTAAGTAGAAAATTATTGGAGTTTTTTTGCATTGTAAAATAAGTTAGGCATAAATACTCTGTGACAGAAGGCAACTCCTTTATACTCCAATGCTTCTAATACGTTTTTCTTGCTTAATTCAGGAAACCACTGATTGCTTGTGTGGAGAAGCAGCTACTAGGAGAGCACTTAACAGCTATTTTGCAAAAAGGTATTTTTTAAAAATTAATGTAATCTCTGATTAGCAATGGATTCTCATATTCTGCAATAGCTATGAATTCCACAGTTTTTACTTTAGGATGTATGTTAGCCATGGGAAAAATTTCCACTGACACAGAAAGCCAATCCTGTGATTGTTACCCTCACTGTGACAAGTAAATGATATATTTGGAAAGAAATGTTTAAAATCTAATTCCATTTTTGTAAAGGTTGCTAAGCCTCTTAAATCTCCTTTGACTTGCAGCAGTGGGCTTAGGAATTAAACCTTTGGAACTTCTTCTTTCCTAGAGTTATATAAACTTCTAAATGAGAGCTGCAGTTAACTGTTGTAGCTTCTTTTATGTGATAATCACACAGCTCAAGTGCAGTAGTTTCACATAAGAATCATGGGTTACTGGAATTGGCAGCATTCAAGGCAATGAAGTCTCATATGCCTTTGTCTGTACTTTACCTTTTGTCTGGCAGATAAGAACTGCAGCCTTCTTAAGTCCTTATTCAGACGTGTTCAAATTGCCATTCCTTTGTTCCTCTTAAATTTTAATCTCTCATTTTTCACTGAATTTCTGTGTTTGTCAGTATTCCCTGATCTTTTAATGCTTTAAATGATACTTTTCCTTCTCTTGAAGTAGCCGTATTTCAGGTTTTAGATCTTCTAGCAAATTGTTCTTAAATATGTTTGCTTTTATGTTGCAAAACAGATGTCCCTGGTAGTCTGGTATCTTGTAGCTCCATCACATCCATGTTTAACACTCTCATGTTATACATACCCTTTCTGTGTCTTTCTTTGTCCCTTTTAAAGATGACAGGGTCACAGTTTTCTCTCCACTATCCTGGGAGTAGCTTTTTTCACTGTTTTGAATACATTTATAGGAATAAGCTTGGTCACTTCATTGTAGCTAGTCTTACACTTACAAACAATGTGAGGTAGTCAGTTTGATACAGGAGAAAAAAAGCTTAAAAATGCAGGGTCTGTATAAGCAACCTTTTTTCCTTCATATTAGTATAATTGCTGTAGACTAGATATAGGTCATACCTAGTGGTGGGGAGGACAGGTTGTGAGTACAATCGATTTTTCCAAGTCTATGGCAGTGCTGTCTGGAAGTTCTGTGAAACCTTTTATCAGAGAACTTTGCTGCATGCCCTTTTCATTTGTCAAATGTGTGACTAAATATTTTTTTCAGTCACACTTGTTAACACTCATGTTAGAGCAAGAGGGAAGGCTATATTTTATGATCTAGGTTATAATAAAGCAGATAGTGTATTGGTGTGTTTAAATGAATGGGAGGAAATGCTTGAATGGGATGGGCATTTCTTAATTGAGAGACTTGGGGTTATTTAGCGTGGAAAAGAGAAGGCTCCTCCTGGGAAACCTCATGGTGACCTTCTAGTACTTAAAGAGGGCATATAAAAAAGAAGGGGCAGATAGTGATTGGTCCAAGGGGAATAGTTTACACTAAAAAATGAGAGATCTAAGATGAGATGTTAGGAAGAAATTCTCTGCTATGAAGGTAGCGAGTCACTGGAAAATGTTGCCCAGAGAAGCTGTGGATGCCCCATCCCTGAATATATTCAAGGCCAGGCTGGAAGGAGATGTGAGCAACCTGGTCTGTTGGAAGGTGTCCCTGCCCACAGCTGGGGGTTGGAACAAGATGACCTTTACAGTCCCTTCCCAATCCAAGCCTTTCTATGATTCTTTGATATCCATGATTTTAGTTCTATGTTCAATTAGAAGAGAGCCCTAAAATCCTGTATTTGAGATTATGTAGTCTGTTGTCTTAATAAAGTATGTCTATTCTTCTGATATCTCAGAAATTAGGAAGTCTCAAAATAGTAGACAAAAGTTTACCTGACATTATTCTTAAACATTGCTTGCCTTTCTGAACATGTATGTAAGCTACAATTTACTGTGAAAGTACTTTTAAGCTGAAGAATATATTAGAATATGGGATAATTTGGTAGTGATTCGCAAATCAATTTTTAATACCATTCAAAAATTAGCTTTAATGAAATATATTTGGAATAGGACAGTTCTACAGTGTCAACTACACTGATGGTGTTACTTGTCAACCTGTGTAAAATCAAGCGGTTTGTTTTTTTAAAAAATGTCATAAATCCTTGATGCTATGCTCTGGTATTACTAAAGCCTCTGTAACTGACACCAGACAAAGTACTTCTGATTGCACTGGAACTACATTAGTCATACTCTCAAATAGAAAAATGTGTATGAAGTTACTTGCTTGTTACGTTCCTCGGGCTTCGCTTCTCCCTTTGTCTCACGTAGGGTGAATCAACAAAGTAAAAGTTGCTTGAAAGGAATTTGTAGTCTTGTGTTATTCCAGTGGTAGAGTGTAGACTGTTCCCAGTGTATTCTTAATTTAAAAATACAGCTCACCGTGCTCCACAGAAAAAAATCTCATGAAGTATTTATCATTAGTTTAAATTTAGGGCAATTTACTTAGCTTCCTGTTTTCTTTAGAGTTTATTGTAAAACTATACCCTTGAAGTCAAGCTTTCTTCATAACCATTCTGCAAAAGGCTTACAATCATCACCTTGTTGGAGAGTATTTCAGGTGAAATACTAGTATATTCTCTAATAGATATATTCTCTAGTAGATTTCTAACTATATTTATGCAACTGTATTCAAATTTGCTCTTTTTTCTAATTAATTTTTTTTCAGGACTTGATAGCCTGCTCGATGAAAATAGAATACCAGATTTGACCCAGACATACCAGCTGTTCAGCCGGGTAAAAGGTGGGCAGCAGATCCTTTTGCAACACTGGAGTGAATACATCAAGGTATTTCAAAGATCTATTACTAATGTAAAAATTTATGCTGTTACAATTTCATCTGTCAAAGCCAAGAATAATGTATAGGTGTATCACTAAACTTCTGTTTTAAGTAAATATGGGGAGGGATGTTAATGCTTCTGCCTCAGTAAGAATCACACGATGAGAAATAGCAACACCTGCTTTGGTTTTAAATTTGTGCTTGGAAGTTGCTTTCCTTATAGGTTTGAACATTATACAGGATGTTTTTGGTTGCATTGCTTTTAAATAGAACCAGATGCACAGGGGTTTAGACTATTCTGGACTGTACTTTGGGTTATTTTGCTGCAGATACACTCAACTGTTCACGTACCTGCAAAACCATTGAAACATCAGATGTTGCTGTTCTTCTGCAGCTTAGGCAGTGCTACTCGTAACCAACCTCTACAGCAATGCTGTTAAAGCTGTTAGAAAAAGATGGATGTTAAAGCTGTAGGAAAGGGAATGCTCCTATTGAAAATAATCCATCAATCGTATTTAGATGCTTTGGGTTTGTTTGTTAGGCATAACATCCATATAGTGTGCTGCCCCAGAGATCCTGCACTCTAGTGTTCTTGAAAGATGAAGGCAGGAAAGCTTCACAGAAGACTTTTCTTCCTGGAGTTCATAACTCCTGATATCATGGCTCTCCCCTGAATTGCCCATGTGTTCATCAACCTTCAGGACTAAGTGCATATCAGTTAATTCCAGAGATGCTTTTTCTCCACACCTGTGTCTGGAGTTCAGCATGATTCAGTGCAGCAGCTCATGGGAGTGGACCATGGATGTTATCATGTGCCTCCAGAACTGAGGTGGAGTTTACTTCTTAGTGTGTTGCCCAGTTGGATGGTGGTGCTGTGGCTGAGGAGGATCATCTTTCTTCTCCCTTTTTCCCAGATCACACTCCTCACTTAATCCTAGTGCTGCCTACTACTCCATAGGTTATCCTGTGATCTGTTTTATCACAATTCCTGGGCAATACCAGTTTAATTCCAGGTTTAGTGAGCTAAAGAGACTCACAGAAAAGTCCATGTGCTGGTCCAAGGAAAGAAGCAGGAGTTCATGATGGGTAGAAAATAAGGAAAGGAATCTTTACTTTCACAACAGCAAGTTGTTAAATTGGCTTATCATATCTGTATCTTGCAGAATCAGACCTCTTACAGATGGTTGTGTACATACTCTAAAACCTAGAAAACCTTTTCTGTAGTGTCAGTAAATCTCCTTCAAAACGTTCTGTGTGACAGTGAAGAGAGGCTCCAAGAACTTCTAATGTTTCTTGTGGGCCAAGTTACTGTGGTAAGGGTCTGTGCTCCGTTGTAGTCACCTTTGTGTGAATTCAGAAGTGCCAGTTGGCTTTTTGTGTCTTGGTTTGCCATTTGCAGAATGGGAGGAAAGCCCTGCAGTGTAGGAATGTACCTGACAGAGACTGTGAGATGCCCAAATGCTGTGTTAATGAAGGGGAAATTGTGATAAGTGGAAGACATGATGGACTAGATGATCATCAGATGTCTTTTCCAGTCCAAACAATTCTGTGATTCTGTGATCCATGTGTTGAACCTAAGGACCTTGGGAGCCTTGTGTTCAGCTTTACATTGAAATGGTACTTGAGAGAGATCTCCATGAAAGAGGACAGTGGCTAATTAGATAATGCAGTGGAAATACTTAGCCTGGAGAGTAATTTCCCCCTATTTCTTTTACTGTTGTTGGCTAACATACTTCAGTTGGTGAAAATATATCACTTGCAGTAATGTTTTGGTTTTGCTTGTGCTGTGTCCTCCTTCTCACCCTGGAAAACTGATCATTCTGTCCAGGACACTGATCAATGTTACTAAGCAAATGTAAATTGTCCAGTAGGTGCAAATCCTCCCTTACAGGATATTTTGATTCATTAGACAAATGGTGTTCTATGTCTGAGATAATAAATGTAGAAACTGGAATAGAAAGTCAGGTCTGTGGCTGCTTCCTGTGCATGAGAAAGTTTTGTTTCCTTGCAAGTCAGCTAAGATCGTTTTGGTTTAGAGCCCTTGATGAAAAAGAAGTCTTTGAGGGCTGAGCAACAGTTAAATTTTTGCTACTTGTTTAATCAGTTAAGCTCTCTTGCGGGTTTTAATAAAAACAGTGCAAAGTTTTCCTTTATACTTAACATTTCTGAGGCAGTTTCCATTTAATTTATTTTACATGAATCATAGTTCTGTATCTCATGTGAACTTGCACATCATAGTCATGTCTACTGTGTATTTATTTTATTTTTGTCTTAAATGTAAATAATCTTTAAATCAAGCACTAATGTTTGAAATCCATTAATGTCTGTCTAGTTTTTATTTTAAATTTCAGTGCATCTCATTTTTTTAAAAACTTGAAGTCATAGTTATAGTTCTGTAAAAAATAAATCCTTTTTCTAATGATAAATTTTATAAGGGTAAATGTGTCTGTTGGGGGAGATAGGTAGCACTCTAAAGTATTTTACTATCAAAAGTGTTTGTTTTACAGAACTTTGGGACAACAATAGTGGTTAATCCTGAAAAAGACAAGGATATGGTGCAAGAGCTACTAGATTTTAAGGATAAAGTGGACCATATCATAGAAGTGTGCTTTCAGAAAAATGAAAAATTTATAAACTTGATGAAGGAGTCCTTTGAAACATTTATCAACAAGAGACCAAATAAGCCTGCAGAATTGATAGGTACACAAATATTTTTCTGTAAAATATTTCAAAAATCTATAGAAAGCATGACAATGCTGCTGAGTGTGCTAGTGCAATAGTGGTGCAGTCGCATCGTGCTGTAGGAGGCTGGTTTTGGGACACGAGGCAAACGTGGCCCCGAGGGCTCGGGTGTGCTGTCGGGGGTCCTGGTGGAGCATGTCACCCTCCTGTCCCCGCGCTCTGCTGCTTGCACACAGGGGCCTGGTGCTAACAACTGCTCGTGGAGCATGGGGCTGCCACGGGAGCACATGGTCAGGGGCAAGAGTAGTGGTCACAAGTCGAGAGGAACGGGCTGTAATTGTGGTTGTAGAGGAGTTCTGGGGATGTTCTGGGTCTCTCAGAAAGGAGTGAGTACAGCCCATCCATCTGCCTTGAAGGCTGAAGTTGGGATAACAATTTTAAAGCCTTCAGATACAAGGAGTTTGAATAGAGGGGGGGAAAAAACCCCACTGCCTTGACAGGAGAATTAGTGCTTATTAAGGGGGAAGATAATAACAAATAATTTAAAAATACTATTTCGTTTATCCCTGATCTGGCAAAAGCTATCTTGACAGTTTTGCCTGCTGAAAAACTGGAGCTGTGTTATTTTACACCAGGAGAGTATCCTGCTCCTTGGTTACTAGTTTTTCCTCTACATTCTTTTACCTTTATTCAGTTTATTTTGTCTTCCTTCTGAAATCAGCTTTATGTAGACCAGATTGCACAACACAGTGATACAGGTTAAAGCCATGATATGGGCTGTTGTCACTTGTGGATCATGGTGTTCCAGCTCCCACAAAGGTTTTCTTACACAGAAGATTGTATAAGGATACTAATGTGGCTTAATAAATACTTAGCAAAACTCAAGGCTTAACCTTATTTCTGGTATTCTGAAACTACTAACTGGAAAGCATTGCTTCTGTTTAAATTTTAATATGCTCCTACCAAGGGGCATGAGGGGCATAGTAAAGGTCTGCAAAAATATAGTCCTCTTTATGTTGTTTGTTTCTGTTTCTCATTAAATACATTCATATACATTGTATGCTTCCAAAACATTGCCTTTCAACAAGTAATGTGCTTGTATGACTATAACACAAAATGTGGGAATTTCTAATGTATTAATTTTAATTATTTTATTGTATTCATTATTTTGCCTTGGACTATTCCTTTTCTGCAGTATTTTTCCATTTTATATAGTAGGGCTCCAATAATATTCCAGGAATGTAGTAGGGCTCTGTCATTCCACTGAACATAGGGATGGGAAGAGGGAAAATAGAAAATTTAGTGCTTATCCTGTATTTTAACATATAGTGGTATTTAACACATAGTAGTATTTCAAGCAGAAGATGTTTAAGTTGTTTATTTTAGAGCTATTTTTTAAGCTGTTACCTAATTTTATTTATTTGTAGCAAAATATGTGGATTCCAAATTAAGAGCTGGTAATAAAGAAGCAACAGATGAAGAACTGGAAAGAATCCTTGACAAAATCATGATCATATTTAGATTCATTCATGGTAAGAAATAGCAGTTTGCTGTTGCTGCAAATAAACTGTTCCCCTTGCTACTAGTAGGGCTGCTTTCATTTGAATGCAAGAAACCTTTTTCAGCATGGATTTCTGCTCAGCTCAGTCTTTAATTCAGATTGACTTACAACTGCAGGAGCACGATAAATATACCAGGGAGGACAAACAGTTCTGTGGAGATTAGCAAGTTACAGACCTTTCAGAGTCTTGTGAATGGAGACCTAAGAGTTAGAGGTGTTGCTGCAAGTTTTTTAACGTAAATTGACCATGTCTGTAACCACAGCCTCTCCTCTAATGACAGTAGAGACTTTCTTTCCTGTCCACTTTATGTATGTTTCAAGTACAAAGCATGAAAACCCAGCAACTTCTCATCATAGCTGAGAAGGAACACAGAGGAGGGCTCAGAATTATAGGAAAAAGTGTTATTGCTGAGGTTTACTACATTTGAAATGCATTTCCCTCATGTATGTCTGTCTGAGCAAAACCCTTGAATATGTTAGGAATTTTTTTTTCCAGATTAGATACCAGAAAAACCAGTGGTCTAATCCAATACAGATGCATGGTCACTGCTCTGAGGGAAGCAGAATGTGTATCCTGGACTGGGGTGGAATAGCAGGAATTCTGTATTTAGTTTTTCTCAGATCTATGGGGTTCTCTCCTTATAAAAATCCCAAACAAGTACAATATGATGGGAAAGCTGTCAAGTCATAAAGTAGTATCATTATCATTTGCATAATTGAATCATAATAGCATCATTTTTGTCAGATGGAGATAGTGAATGAAAACAGTTGTACTAGCAGCTTGTCAACCTAAGAGATTAATTGTTCTTAATCTGAAACTTTCACCAACTTTTTCCTCTTCATGTTTTTGGTAGTACTGAGCTAAAAGCACAAATTTTGTTTTGAGCTGTCTAGTACATAAGAGCTCTTCTAAGAGCAGATGATAATTAGTTGGGAGTTTATGGGCATTGGTCTTTTTGATACTATCTTGATGCGGCTGGTTCATGGAACTTCACCAGGACAGGATGGGGAAGGAAGAAGACTATCATAAGAAGCACTAAATTGGGAAGTGTTTGCAAGGAATTACGAGGGGTTACTGTAGGCAGCCCAAGCAGTGGCTTGGGTTACAGTAAATTTGTTCCTCTTAGCACTGTCTGTAGGGGGAAGCTCGGGTTTAAGGTGTGAAAGTTTGTGAGTATCTGTATGACTCCTTCATTTCAAAAGGCATGTGAGAAGACTTCTGTTAAATTTTCTTCCCCTTAGGCTTTTAAAATATATTCTTTAATATATAGAAAATCTCCCTCCCATTTTTTTTTTTTAATTAATCAGACCAATGGAGGGAGACTGTTCTTCTGGACCCCAGAGTAATTTCATGTGTTTTGCAGCTGATCCAGTGGGAAATACAAGGCAGCCCAAGTTCCTGAGACAGAAATAAAAAATAAGTAAATATTTTGCAAAATATGTTAAAAGCTATTAAAATATGAAAAGAACAAAATGTCTACTTGTTTTTCTTCACTGCTACATAATGAATATGGTTCTACTAATCAGCTTTTCATGAGAGGCTTGCCACAACCTGAAGGGCAGTGATGCAGATAGAATGTATAATTTAATTTAATTTTTTGTTTCATTTCCTTACAGGGAAAGATGTCTTTGAAGCATTTTATAAGAAAGACTTGGCCAAAAGACTGCTGGTTGGAAAAAGTGCGTCAGTAGATGCTGAGAAGTCTATGTTGTCAAAGCTTAAACATGGTAGGTGTCTTTAGATGTGTTAAATTTGTATTACTTTTTGGCATGCAATTTTGGAATCCCTGTTTTCTCATGCTTTTAAGAAGTGACAAGCCAAATTTTAAGTAATAGCTGGACAGCTCTTAAATACTTTGGGGGATATATATGTGTGTGTATATACATATGTATGTATCAGACCTTTCATTATCCTCAGCAAGAGCTATTAGGCTGACTTAGGTATGAGACTGGTCTATAGAGGAGCAAAATCCTGAAAATGTAACTATTTGTAGATGCTCTGTAACCTGGTAAATATGGCTCAGTTGTCTCAGGTTAAATATGTATCATTTGTTCTGTGCTTCTTTGTAATTGTGGGATCTTTGCTTTTTTTGTGTGTGACAGAATGTGGCGCTGCTTTTACCAGCAAACTGGAGGGCATGTTCAAGGACATGGAACTGTCCAAAGATGTCATGGTACAGTTCAAGCAGGTACACTTAGCTTTTGTTTGTATACTAAATTTTCCACAGTTATGGGGAGGCATTTAATGGTGCTATCCCTTTGATTAAGCTAAAATTAAACAGCTTTTGAGCAGATCCTAGTCATAATAATAGTGTCTAGTTATTGTTCTGTTTATACAATGGAATTTATTTATTGTATACAATAATTGTACAGTTATATTTGATTACTTTTAAAGTAAAATAGTCTAAATACCACATAGTAATTTAGCTGACTGACATCCTGGGAAGTCTTTATCCCTTAATTCTGTAAACTGGTGCTGCTCTGATGAATTTTTTGTCAATGGTCCAAACCAGAGAAACTCCCTGGAGGTTGCTAAGTGCACAGAAAGTGTGCATTTCTCAGCCCCAGAGTTTCCATCCTGTTGGTGACCAATGAATGCTTGCAGGAAATATTGTAAATGCTCACCCTGTTGTTGCATTTCTCTCTGGGTACTACTTTTGGGGCCTTACTGAAGTCAGGATGCTGGGTTAGAGATCTGAACCAGGACAACACCTACAGTAAAACACTGTAGTGACTCTTCTCTCCCAGATTTTGCAGTCTGGCTTGACCGATGCTCTACTCCAATTATATGAAAAAGTTCTGTCTAGTAGATGTGAAAGTCCAAAGGGATCCTTTTGATCTTACAGTCCTTGCAATGGCTTCTTTTCTTTGGTTTTATTTGTATGTGATTAAAGTTTCTTTGATCTTAGCACCTTTTATAGACAGTAGTCTAGGATATTTCAAGGTGTGTTGACCTTTTCTTTGTACTCCCAACGGCATGCTGTGTTTTAAAGTTGGGGAAGTGGTCAGTAGATAGTTAATCAAACTCCTGGTACAGCATGTCTAATCAAGGATGTGGTTTTTCATTGTTATACGAAGCCTAAATTTCTAATTTAAGTATGTACATTTTCTAATTTAGTATGCAGATAGCATACTGGAATAATTTTTGTCTCTGTGTTTTAGTATATGCAGAACCAAAGTGACCCAGGAAATATAGACCTGACAGTAAATATATTAACTATGGGATATTGGCCAACTTATACACCTATGGAAGTCCACTTAAATTCAGAGGTTTGTATTTTAATTCTTCTAAATGCACTTTAGAGAATGGAATCAGTATCACAGGGTGCATTAATGCCCTTCATTTAACATTTTTCTGCTAGATATTTAAGGGTTTTACGTAATTTTAAGGATTCCAGAATTGCAAAAAATAAAATGTAGTGGATAAAATCCACTTTTTTCAGATGATTATTTCACTCAGTGTAGGGGTTTTTTAACCTGTATAATAACAATATCATTGCCTTACTTAGCATTGCAGTCCATTACTTAAAAGTTTGCAATTGGTCAGTTCACCTTAATTTAGTCAATCTTTAACTACATTGGTTAGGCACTTTGAGCTAATCAATAGTTATTGCACGTTCCTTTTTTCAAAGATCCTTCCTCTGTTCTCTGCAATGTGTCACACAAAACTAGCCCCTGCATTTAAATAGTATCTGCCTGAAAAATGATTTTTTCCAAGTTGAGAGGTTTTTGCAAAGCTCCTTCCAGTAGTGATTTAGATTGACATGTGTATTTGGAGTCCCTGTTTCCTACAATACCTTGCTTGATGGGAGTTGTGGGAAGCACTTCAGAGGCCAGAGGAGGTAATGGGATTCGTGCTCAGTTTGGAAGATATGGAAGCTCTTGTACTCTTATTCCTGAGGTGTCCTTTCCTCCATGGCAGGCTACTTCTGAAGGATCCAGCCTGAGCAACATATTAGGAAAATGGAGAGCTAGAACCCTCTTACTTGGAAGTAAGAGGGCATAAAGTAGTGGAATTGGACTAGAATTCTATTCCATCCACAAACTACAGGAAGAACTTAAGAGCAGATGGTACTAGCCAGTGTAAAGGTGTGAGATGCATGCTTTTTGTCCCATGATTTCTAGGTCAGATTTGAAGTCCGGGATAAAACCAGTATCTCTTTTGAGGTTTAAAACCCTTTACACAGAGTTTATTTTACTGTTATTTAAAACAAAACAAGCAAATTAAAAACCCAAGGAAAATTCAGTTATTTTTAAATTGAGGCTTTCTTCTGTGCATCATAGTACCAGCATACCTGAAAGCAAAATTTTGCTCTTTGGATTAAGTTTTTCACACAGAAGAACCTGTTATGAAACACGGTTGAGGAAAATAAAGAAATTACATGTGTCAAATCATTTGGTAACACTGCAGTGATACAATGTTAGTGTTTTTTCTCTTTTCTTAATAGATGATAAAGCTTCAAGAGGTATTTAAAACCTTTTACCTGGGAAAACACAGTGGTCGAAAACTTCAGTGGCAGACTACTTTAGGGCATGCTGTCCTGAAGGCAGAATTTAAGGAAGTAAGTTTGCTTGCATAATGCTTTGCCTGTCAGGTTAAAATTTAAGTAAATTATTTGGAAACTAATAATGTGTTTTATTTTTTATAAAGGTAGTAACACTTTTGTGGAGGACCAGTCACAATTCAGTACTGTTATTTTGTACAGAAAGTAGGCTTTTTATTATTAAACTGGAATACTACCTAGCTAACAAGACAACAACTTGATACTTTTTGGTTATATTAATTTGATAGGAATTTTGCTTATTCAAATAAATTAAATTGTAATAAATGAAGACATCAAAGCAAGAAAAAGAACACAACTGTTTTTAATCTTTAATATGGAATTGTTTTGATTGTAGAAATCCTGTTGATGCTTTTAGAGTGCTTGACATACATAAAGAGACTGAAGAGTATTAGTCACATGATGGCTGTGGTTAAAATTTAAATGCTTGTTGAATTATTTAACTGTTAAATAACTGCACTGTTTGTTCATGTGGTTTTGTTTTGTCTCATGCAGTAATAGTGCAGCTTCACTGAGCCACAGCAGAGACAAAAAAAAACTTGAATTCTTTTACTAACTCGTTCTGAATATTAACGACTTAATTATGGAGAAATTCACTATTGATAGTGGCAACACCAAAATTTCATATATTGTAATTAAAATTAAGTGAAGGATTCTAATGAGCTTCTTCTGTGTATTGTTACTGTTAGAGGAGTAAAAAAAATAAGTTGAAAAATGTCCTGTTTCCTCAATACTACATTCAGGCAGATTCTTCTGTGTATCAGGCATTCTAAAATGCATATCCATTCTTCTAGAAATAGAAAAAATAATGCATACTTTCTCTAACTGTCAAATGTAGGGGGTACAATAGAAAATTCTCTAAATATTACTATTACTTATTGTTTCTCTTTTAGGGGAAGAAGGAGTTTCAAGTATCACTCTTTCAGACATTAGTACTGCTTATGTTTAATGAAGGAGATGAATTCAGTTTTGAAGAAATTAAAATGGCTACTGGTATAGGTAGGAAGAATTCTTTTGAGTTCTTAAATTTATTAATGAAGTGATCAGTGATTATGATTTGGTATGTGAAGGCCTAATTTTAAGAAATTTGTCATGATCATTAGGACAAACTTTTATGTGCCAATAGCATACATATGCCAAAATAGATGAGGAAAACACACTGCATGTATTTCTTAGTGTATTTTCTTGGTTTGTAAAATGGATTTTTCACAAAATTATTAGTAAGAGCTGTGTGGAATGTGATACTACTAACAACCTACTAGATTTACAAAATGTATCACTGCAATTCTTAAAATTTAAGTGGTGATAAAGACTGTGTGTACAGATTATTTTTGCTCCCTTTCAGTTTCACATACTATATTTTGAAAATAATGTTGTAGAATGCTGTCATTTGGGGGTGATTTAAAAGACTCTTTTCAGCTGAACTGTTCTGAGAGCTCACCTGCCTGTTGCCCATTCCTGTCTCTGGGGTGCCCCTTGACAGCAGGTCTGACCTGTTCAGAGGAGTGGAGTGTGCTGGGTGTGTACTCTGTAATTCAATGCCTCTGCACTTGAACCTGAAGGACAAAGAAAACTGAGGAAGAGTACAATTTTCTTTTTAACCATCTGCAGTATCTGTCTTCTGTGTTTTTATGTTCTTGGGTGGGTTTTTTCCCTCCCAAATTCTTACACTCTCTTGAAATAATTATAGCCAAAAACTGTCATCATTAATCTTTGCAAGGTTTGCATCAATCAGCAGCTTACACCCAATAGTCCTTCACATGTTGAAACTTAAGATCAACGTAATACAGCAGTATCTGAAAGAGTATTTGATTCCTTACAAGTACTAAAATATTGTAAAATATTTTCTAAAAGACTGTAAAATGGGGATGCCAAGAGTCCTTGTGGTTCAGAATGATGCATTGCAGAAGGAAGTACAGCTTGGGGTGCTCCGTTGTCTCAGTGTCAGTCCTTCAAGTTAATTAGTCATCCTGTCCCTTAATGGTAAGGAAGCTGAAGAAAATCCATGCTAGTGATAATAGTAATCAGGATAGTCTGGAGAGGCTCACTAGTTTGGAGTACAACATTTACAGAACAAACACAGGTCATGCAAGCCTGATCCAGATCCTGCTTTCTCATCTTGGATTGCTGTCTCTTGGAGCTTGCATTCTGGCTGCCTGACAGCATCAGATAAAATTTGCTGCATGGAAATCCATTATAGCACAAAATAAGGAATTCAATAGACTCTTTATAAGGCAGGGGCTGGAATTGATAGCTGGGAGCTATCTATGTCATTGCACTGAGCACCATGTGTGTATTTCGCTCTCCTTTGGAGAAGTAGTTTAGAAATTTAAACAGTAAGAACAGCTCATGTGCCACAGGCTTCCTGTGAGGCCAGGATGAATAGCATAGAATCACAGAATGGCTTGGATTGGAAGGGATCTTAAAGATAATCTAGTTCTAGCCCCCTGCCCTGGGCAGGGACACCTTCCATTAAACCAGGTTGCTCAGAGTTCCATCCAGCCTGGTCTTGAACACTTCCAGGGAAGGAGCATCCAGAACTTCTCTGGACAACCTGTTCTAGTGCCTTGCCACCCTCACAATAAAGAATTTCTTTATAAAACCTAATCTATTCTGTTTCAGTTTGAAGCCATTCGCCCTTATGTCACTACATGGTCTTGTAAATTTACAAGTTCCTCTCTTTTTCTTGTGGGGATTAACTGCCACGGTTGGAACTTGTGTTTTCCAATCACTGTTACAGTAATTAGCAGCCTCTTTAATGAGATTGTCCCTGGTATATTAGGACAGTGAGAAGATGCATAAACTGTTAGTCAGAGAAAGAATGATCACAGTCTCTCTAATTTTGCTGCTTTGAGATGTGTTATCCAAATATATTCCGTGTTTTTACTTGCCTTATTGTCAAGGAAGCCTCTAGGAGCTGTAGTTTCTACTTCTACTTCAGGGATTGATAGGTAATTGTAAATTCCTTCCCTTTGGCATACTATAACCTGTGACTTCACATGCAAAGCTCTAGAGTGTTTTAACAGCAGCCTTGTGTGTGGACAAAAACACAGCTCAACAATCTGCATTTGCTGAAGTTGAAACACAAAATGTCTCAAACGTCATAAATGCCTGTTTAGCCCAGATTGTTTAAAGGGTTTTTTTAGAAATCATAGAACAGTTGGAAGTTTAAAAGACGGAAAAGTTGCTCTGTGTAAAATCTTAAGTATTTTAAAAATAGCAATTGTGTTAATCTTTTAGTCAGCTGTACTTCAGCACTAGATTGCAAAACCTTTCATTCAGTTTTTAGACTATAACTCTGTTCAGAACATCTAACACATTAGTGATAACTTTTTACTGTGAAGAAAGTATTCTAGAGACTGCAGAGGTGGTTTTCAATGCAAAATCTTGATAAAAGACTTTGCAACATAATTAGAATATTTAAGACTTCATTTTATCTTCTTGTCTAAATGCTTTTAGCCTTAAATATTAATAAATAAAATTTTCCTCACACACTTGTCTACTACTTTCCTGTTTTGGGGGAAGTTTGACTATAATAGCTGTCAACTCTACCCTCCCACAAAATATCTTCCTGTCAATTTAGACTTCTGTACTTTTTATTCTAGTATATATTTTTTGCTGTGTGATAAAAACATTGATCAAGTCTTAAAATAGGTGATTTTGAGTTTCTTGTCATACCCTGACTTTCTTTTTCAAAGTCCTATTACTACCACACAAAACTAAACCAATAAAACTAAGTTTGTGTTAATGTGAAATCTTTTCTGAAGCTATTTTGAATGGAAAACTCGCTGAGATGAGCCTAAATCCAACTTGCTGATATATATAATCCTGTGCATGCTCTCAGCATTTAACCTGTGAAAGACAAGACCGAGTTTGAAGGCTGTGAGCTACTTCCTAATTGGAAGAAAGTATTAACATAAAACCACTAGCTTTTCAGTTTATTTGTGGATTAATTACATAAAACTCTTCATGTTAATGTTTTGTTCTGCTTTCTCCCATATTTGAATTCCTTCACAGAGGACAGTGAATTAAGAAGAACCCTGCAGTCTTTAGCTTGTGGAAAAGCACGAGTATTGATTAAAAATCCAAAGGGCAAGGATGTAGAAGATGGAGATAAATTCATCTTTAATGGTGATTTCAAGCATAAGTTGTTTAGAATAAAGATCAACCAGATTCAAATGAAAGAAACAGTACGTACTTTTTGTATTCATTCTGTTTATGTATTAGCTGTTTACCTTACATATCCCATAGGGAAAGACAATCTCTTGTATTTTTTGCATATAAAGAAATGAAGTCTTACTTCCAAAGGATATTTAATTGTTAGAGTAGTCGAGATGACTCAGAGAGGCAATAAAGACTTTAAAATCACTGAAATTGAAACCAACTTTAGGTTGCCTCCTGTGCTTGCAAATTGAAATGCCTGTATATGAAACTAAAAGGATCTTGTAGATGTTTCAGTTCATCTTAGAAGTTTCTGTGGTATTGCTGAAGTGCTGGTACTATATTGTACTCATGAATCAAATGTCACCATGCCACTTCTATATTTAGCAGGTAAGAGGGCTATAAAAGGGTTGTCCCTGATTCTGCAGTGAAAACAAACATTTTTTGTTGTATCTGAATCCCCATTTTTGACACAAGGTGACATATTCTAGTTAATATTGGCTTGATTATTCTTTGGCTTTGCATGTTAAATTCTCTGAAAGTCAAACTGGAGTTTGACACAAAACACTGCTATATTTGGGCTGTCAAAGTGTTCTGTATTCTTTCAAAAATCTGAAGGGAGTTTCTAAGATTTACTTTAATTTATCATATAATGTATAATAAGACATGTTTTTTCTTTTACATTATCCTTAATTTTCTCTTTGACTTGCTTTAGCAGTACACTTGAGAAATCGCTTAGCTCTTAGAATGCAGTAATGTGTACATGTGTCTCAAGGATGAATAAGAATGCATGAGTTTCATTTATTGTGAAGGTTAACTATAGAGATATAATTAATAAAAGTAGCAACAGGGTGATATGATTTTTGGTGTTGTATTGTTCTTTAGGTTGAAGAACAGGTCAGCACAACTGAAAGAGTATTTCAGGACAGGCAATACCAGATTGATGCTGCTATTGTACGAATAATGAAGATGAGGAAAACTCTTGGTCATAATCTTCTTGTTTCTGAATTGTATAATCAGCTGAAATTTCCTGTAAAGGTAACTTACATTTTTGTTTAAACCATCCTAGATTAATCTAAATATATGTAATATATTTTCTATTCATCTTGTCTGTTAGAGCAAGAAATGTGAAATATCATAGATTTAAACACAAAGATTAACGTATTGTGTGAACAGAAATAAGTCAGAGTATCGGTAGCACATCAGTTACATACTATGGTGCATTTCTTATGTAGCTTTTAGCAGTATTTTTTTTTTAATGTTTGCCTTTGTATTACTAATTGTTACACTAATCTCATCTTTTCTTGTAGCCTGGAGACTTGAAGAAGAGAATTGAATCTCTCATTGATAGAGACTATATGGAGAGAGACAAAGACAACCCCAATCAGTACCATTATGTTGCATAAAAGAGAAAAAATAGTTTTATTTTTATTTAAAAAAAAATAAAAACCAAAATCATCCACATATATCTTCAGGACACCAAATACCTATGCTGTTCCAGACTTTCCTGTTAGCAGATTTCAGGTTGATGTATATTATTCAACCAGCTGCATGCACTGCTGTGGAAAAGAAACAAAATGACATGTTAATTGATCACTTTTGTCAAGACTTCTTACTAATTTGAAATGTCCTGGGTTTTTTTTCCCTTTAGCTAATCTTTTGTTCTCTTGTGTTCTTCAAAATTTAGTTTTACAGTTTTGTTTAACAATGTCATTGAAGTTGGATGGAAAGGTAAAATTACCTGTGTGAGAAACACTTCTGTGATGGATGCAAGTCTGGTTTCTTCATTTAGGTGTTCTTAACTGCATCCATAAAGTCCCTAAATGCTGCATTCTTTAGCTACAGTGACAACTTGGGTAACTTTTTAAAAACCCTTCATTAATGAACATGTATGTACAAGGAGTGTTGTTGAAATACACCGAAGTTTTGCACCATGAAAACCTTTAAACTTGTGTTCAGTTAATTTTCTTTCAAGTTATTACAAACTTCAGTCTGGTTTGGATAAATCAGGTTTTGAAGTGAGATTCTAGAAGTGCCAAGAGGACAAATGCATTCATGTGTGTACTGAGATGATGGATTATTTAGCTAAAATATGGATTGTTCTATTATTACTACTTCTGCTGGCTTGGGTGGCAAAGATTAGATCTGAGTCAGAGGCCCTACCTCATTTTAGGGCAGCAGGTGTATTTCACTGTTTCTGTAATTGCCGTAACACTTAGTTCTGCCTTGAAAATAACATCCAGGGAACCTACTGTACAGCGTGCTCCACTTTAAGAAAACAAAACCTTTTTTTAAAAAAATACTTTTATGCTCTCAATATTGGGAAAGCATAGCTTTTTGTCTTGAAAGACTAAGGATTTTGTGAGTACTTTGTTACATATTGTACATATGTAAGTTGATTTGAATTAAAGAGTGAAAGACACTATAGATCTGTTAGATAACTGTAACTATAAGGAAGACACCTTTTCTGGTAATACTTGTAAGACTGTTTATTTTCCTGATGTCTACTGGTATGTTTCATTCTGAAAAAGAGCTACCAAAGGAGTTTTGATCACTACATAAAATGAGAATTTAACTGAGCAATATTTTCTTGAGAGATACCTTACTAAGTTTACGTAACATGGGGTTGTGCATCAATTAAAAGGCCACTTCTTAAAGTAAACAATGCTATGAGGTGACAACTTGTGAAACTACATATTAAAATCCTTATTCTGTCCTCTGGTATCATTAATTGTATTGCGTTCTGAATTATTTTGTTCCCTTTTTGTTTAGAAATTAAACACGTTTAGTTTATTGTATTTAAAGCGTATTTAATATAATTTAATGTAGACTTATTTTAATATTTGAATCTGCAGTTAATGCAAATAAAATATTTGATGCATATTAAGTATTAATTTCTTAGCCTTTGTGAGAATGTGGCACTTCAGTTTATTTTTGTGGTTGGTGTTTTAGTGTTAGTTATACCATTTGCTTTGTAGTTCACTTTTTATGTGTATGGAAACCAATGAGCTCCATCTTACCAGACTTCTAAACCAAAAAGGTAATGGCCAAAGAAGCTTTATGCACACTGAAAGCTGGCAATAGTATGCTGTAGCTATTAGGAAGCAGTGAGAATGTACTGCCTGCCCCTTCTGAACCCAAAGGCTCTGGTTCAGTAGTTTTAAACAAAAACTAAAAGCAGTGTTGTTATCCTGAAGATGACTGTAATGGTTCTGCCTCAAGAAGCAATGTTAATTCAAGTGCTGAGATGTACAGTTTTTCTTAATTGCCGCAGACTAAGACCTCTTTGGCCACGTTATTCTAGTCCTAGTAATTAAAAATTAGTTGTTCCGCAGCAGTGGAAATTATGAAGCCTGTCTTTCTGTGCTGTATACCCTTGGTACCCAGCTGTATCATCCCCTGCAAATAACCTCGAGCAGAACTCAGGAGGGGTTCTCCTTGGTTCTGCCTTTCTGCTTGTGGGAATGGAGGTTTTGTCCCTTCATTCAGCTGCTGATCTCTACCCATCCTCTTACACCCCTGAACCTACAGAGAATGTCATGATCCCGAAGGCTTTTCCATACTGGTCTATAAGTGGCTTCAGAGGTTCAAAAGCTTTGGGAGAGACCAAGTAATTGTGACTTTTTTTCTCAGGTCCCTATTTTTAATTTGATTTCCTCAAATTTTTCTTACTGGGATGTTTTATGTGCTGAACCAAACAGGTAAGCAGTTACTTTATGACTCAGCATGGAAATCACTTCTCTATAGTGAAATAGCTGCATTTGATTGCTTTTGGGTAGCTGGTGATAGAATTTAGCTGAATAGTCTGTCTCAATCAGTTGGTTCTTCGGAGTCACATTTCCCAAGTGTACCTGTACCTACATGGTTGTAGGTCCTGGAAAATCACTCATTGTTGAAGATGTTTGGCAGTAACAAAGTAACAGATTTGTTCTACAGAGCATCTTTATGTTCAGGTATGTCTGGGAAACCTGAGTCTTGGCAATTCAGTGTCCTTAGAACAAATTGTATAGCAGCTTCTATGCAATAACAAAAATAACAGCAGGAGCCTGGATAGAGCTGGGGGCTCTAACTTGCCCAAACATACATTATATACATTTAAAAAGCAATTTTCCTAACTATGACACACTGTTATCGAGCCCAACATTTCCTGAGGGAAAGTGAGTGTGAGAATGTAGGTTGAGGGCTGACTTAAAGGTGCTTCCCAAGCCTGGCAGTTACAGCTCTCCATAACCAGCCAGCAGCCTCCTTTCTGCCTTCTCCTTGGGTATTTTTTCTTAGTTCTGTATTTTAGCTTCCCCTGGATTCCTTTATCTGAACCTGAGTTTATCATTTAACTCTCTGGATCTGCTGCACCTTTTTTCGTCCTTTCTTTGTGCTGTGTACCTTTTGGAAAAAAATTGCACACTTCTCAGGTAACTTCAATGTCTCTATTTGTTATGCAGATCTACCTATGGCTACTCCAGGCAGGGCGGCAGAGTAGCTGGAAAGCTGTCTGGTGGAAAAGGACCTGGGGGTACTGGTTGACAGTGGCTGAGCCAGTGTCTGTCTAGGTGGCCAAGAAGGCCGAGGGCATCCTGGCCTGTATCAGCAATAGTGTGGCCAGCAGGAGCAGGGCAGGGATTGTCCCCCTGCACTCAGCACTGATGAGGCCACACCTCAAATCCTGTGCTCGGTTCTGGGCCCCTCAGTACAAGAAAGGCATTAAGGGGCTGGAGAGTGTCCAGAGAAGGGCAGTGGAGCTGGGGAACAGTGTGGAGCACAAGTCTGATGAAGAGCAGCTTGGGGAGCTGGAGTTGTTAAAGCTGGAAAAAAGAAGGCTCAGGAAGGGAGCCTTATTGCTCTCTACAACTGCCTGAAAGGAGGTTGTGTAGCCAGGTGGGATTGTTCTCTTCTCCCAGGTAACAAGTGACAACGTGAGAGGAAAAGACCTCAAGCTGTACCTGGGGAGGTTTAGATTGGATATTAGAAAAAATTTCTTTACTGAAAGGGTTGCCAATCAAGCTGGATCAAGCTGTCCAGGGAAGTGAAGTCACTATCCCTGTGGGTATTTAAAAGACCTATAGATGTGGCACTTAGGGACATATTTTAGTGGCAGGCTAGGCAGTGCTACGTTATCAGTTGAACTCAGTGATGTTTGAGGTCTCTTCCAACCTAAATAGTTCCATTCTGTTTGTAAGTTTATTATCTTTGGCAGCTATGTTCAGGAGAGTAGACTCTGTACCATGAACTTGGTTAGCCATTCCTAGGAAGTCTCTTCAGAAAGGAAGTAACCGTGTGAAGTCAGGTAATACTCAGCAAAAGGCTGTGGGAAAAGAGTTATGATTTGTGGAAATTCTTTCCTGGTAAAAATTCCTAGCCTGTACTCTGTCTCCCTTGCTTGTACTCTGCCTTGACCTCACAGGACAGCTTTTACTGTAGTAATGGCTCCTAACTCTCCTGGATGTTTCCCATGAGCAGCTCATTCTGCAACCATGGCTCTGAAGAAAGGCCAGGGAGTGCATCATGGTTCTTATCTGGGCCTGTGAGCATTGTGGGCCAGCAGCTCTGTCAGAAGGGTATGGACTATGTTTCATTTCCCTCAGTGACAGCACTAATTTGGACCTCCAGGGTGTGTATAGAGCAGCTTTTATAGAAGCTGTAACTCTGTTTGTTTATGTATTACCCTGCTATCACATTTGATTGATGTCAGCCAGCAAGTTACCAAGCAGTGGGGCTGATGGCCAACACAGTTGTGCAAGACTTGATGCATTTGTCTAACAAACACCCTGGTAATACTTGTACTGAAAGGAGGTGGAAACTGGTATGGTGCTGTCTCTGCACCATTAATAAAGGCCTAGTGAGCTAATGATCCACAGCACGGAAGGTCAACATCATGCTCTGCTGATAACCTTATGTTCTTTATTTACCAAATCTTACCACAATATTATTGCTTTATGTAACTTATATATATATAGTGTAGGGACACATATTGAGAAAGTAAGAAAATTACAGCCTGAAAAATATTCCAGCTTTTCAGCTCTGTTCCCAACCTATAAGCTGGTCCAGCTCAAGGCTAGGGAGAATTTCTCCCAAGGTGATAATTTGGTCAAAATAAAAAGGAACTAATAACAAGATAGAACACCTGTTGTGGTATGTGACCAGGCCCTGGGAATGGGGTGTCCAATCATCTTTTCTCTACTCTTGGAATTGCGAGTCATGCTGTAAAACCAAGTGTGTTTCTGAATGAACTTGTCTCTTTCTTTCTATTATGAAAGATGCCCATGTAGCTGTGCATCTTATTTCTGCCACACTTAAAGGGTTAAAACCCCATTCCATGGCTACATATAGTGATAATTTTTTTTAACAGCAATCCAAGCATCTGCTGTTTTTCCATTCATTGATGCCTACTGATTTTCCAGCAGAGAGAGAATACTGCACACCAAGTTTAAACCTGACCTCAGGCCTCCCTCTCCATTTGTCTTGTGGCAGGCTTTGTGGTCCACAGACCTTCCTCCACTCCCAGTGCAGGTTCCAAAAACAGTCATCCAAAATGAGCACAACCCATGTCCCACCTCCATTACCCTCAACTCCTCTGCAGATGAGTCATTCAAACACTTGACCAGAGCTGCTCATTATGTCCTTTTTCAAACTAACTTCTGCTTTTGGCAATATGTGGCAAGAATAAAGACTGCATGAAGTGTTTCAGGGAAAAACAAACAAACTAAAATAATACAATACTGTGTCTAAAAATGCACAGATAAAAATACAGCATTAAAAAGAAATATGTGTTTATAGCAATAACATTGAAAACGAAAGGTAGATCCCCATGCCACTCTAAGGAGGAATTCAACTTAACCAGGATCTTTTGGGAAAACAGGAACTGTGAGTGAACAAAGAGCAAGGAAAGGTCAGGCACACAGCAGCTGAGCTTGACTTTAGCAGCTGGGAGTAGCTAAATTGCATTTCATA